CACTATTATCGTTTGTATGTAACAATTAAATATCCTCTAACATTTAAACAGGGAAGGCTGTAGATAAGGAGCTGTTATTTTGGGGGGCACTTTACCCCACTTAGTAGAGCCATTAATGAGTCTGTATTCAGCATGAGTGATTTCAGAGCAATGAAGACAACATGATTTGAATGGAACACTCATGCCGCACACCTAAAGTGACATTCATGCCGGTTTTTCTTTATTCACCCTCATTCACTTAGCCTAGGGGAGGAGGAGAACGTTGTCAGAGTTGGGGGCAGAGGCAAGAAACAGGCTAGGTGTGGTCAGCGCCGCCCCTCCTCCTTGGACACATGCACCCTGGTTCTCCATGTCCGAAAACACCCCTATGCTTATTTGGTTAAGAACTTGGTGGGGAAGAACATGTTCCATATGGATTCTCCCCTCAAAACACCGATAAATCACCATGGCCACCATGAAAATGCGTAGAGCACTTAAATGCCAGGCACTGCGCTAAGGACTTTATATGCATTATCCCACCAAGCCAAGAAAACCAAAGCCCAGAAACCTTAAGTGACACACCCAAGATAACATGCTTAGACAGTGGTGGAGCTTCTGCCTTCAGAGATAACCTGGGACAGACAGTTGCCAGTAAAATTCTGCAGATCTAAATCTCACCTTCTATAGATGGCAAAGAGCTCGGAAGTCTCTACCAAGCACTTAGCAGATTAACAGCTCCTTTTAAAGAAAAATAATTACCTTCCTCGCTGGCACACTGCTGGAAGTGGGGACGGTCCTCTAGTGGGGAAGAATGCAAATCAGGTTCTTAAGCCTGAATAGCAGAATTCAGCTCTGCCTCCTCCTGCCCTTGTATCTGAAGCCCGTAGAACCCTCTCCAATTAACACCAACAGAAGTCTGGGACTTCGGGCGGAGAGCTCAACCGTGAACCGATTAGTATCCAACTCTTGCCAAGGGCTCATTTAAGACATCTGATAGCAGAGAGAGATGGCTTAATATGCAGATTAACCAGCCACTCCTCCAGATTCTCTACAGTTTTAGCCATATACTAAATTTGATCAACACAAAGCAACTTTTGTCCTCCATAGTAACTCAGCTTCTTACAAAACCTCCTTCACACACTTAAGATTTATGCCCTCAGTTTTTTTAGGAAGTGGATATAAGAAACATCCATTTAAACAATCACTTAGAGCCTTTTGTAAAAGAACAGTTGAAAGCACTGTCCATTATGTTATCCAGTGCCCCTTAAATAAAAAAGCACACGCTAAATTCAGTGCCAAGAAAAAGTTTGTCTCTCTTTTGTTTGTTTTCCTTTACCAGAAAAGAACTGTATAATCACATCTCTTTTTGCCTCGACTCTTCAAAACTTCAGAGACAAATTCAGTGCTCAAATGCAGTAACTAATTCATCCCAACCATCTTGCAATATCTATTCTTTGATTTTTTTCTTTTTACCCCTTTTGATCTTGATTTTATTTTTATGTCTCCTGCTTTAAATTGGGCTTCATTTTGCAAGCCAACTTAAGTCTTCTTTTTCCCTTCAAAAGTAGGACATACATCCTAAGTAAACGAGGCTTTTTCTTACCCTCTGAAAAAATCATAGTCCTCCCGGCTACTTACTACAAGTCCTCTTGGACCTGACAGACCCATTCACATCACTGCCCGGTCTGTCTGGTTTACACGATGGAACATGAGAAGACTCCAGTCAGTTTTAACCCCTCATCTACTCAGTGCACCAACCCCAAGCAAACAAGGACAAGAACAACTTAGCTTTTAGTTTCAGGAGTGCAGCTGATTCCCAAAGCCGAAACTGTCTTCCACAGAAGATGACAATACTTAGGAAAGACTCCACTTAAGATGAAAATACTTGGGACAGACTTGACCCAGGGCCATAACACTCCCTAAGCCAAGCTAAACATTTCTTTTGAAATAAAAGAAACAAGCACTAACCACTGCGTAGATTCTATCTTCCAAAGATGACTGCAGTAAGGTTTCCCATCCCACATGCCCTTATGCAATGTGACCTTGCGACTCTCCCACTAAGAGATGGGGTCTCTATCCCTACCCCCTTGAACTTGGACAGACTCTGTGACGGCTCTGACCAATGGAAAACAGCAGACGTGCACTGTGCCAGTCCTAAGGATAGCTTTAACTGGCAGGGTGCTTCCACATCCTGTATCTTGGCAGTCAGCCACCAGGTAAGAAGCATGACTGTTCTGAGAAGATAGCGTTGTGAGAAGCCCAAGCCACGTGGTGAGGGCCTGGATGAGATGCCATGTGGGGACAGGGAGAGATGCTCTGGAACATGGTGGCACGTGCATGAGAAAGCCATCTGGAAGGGGATCCCCAGCCCTAGCTGTCCCAGCTGTCACCATGTGCAATGGAGATGAACTCCGCTGAGTCCCTCCCTAATTCCTGACCCTCAGAATTGTAAGCAAAATGAAGATCAGCAGTTTTCAGATGGGGATTGGGACAGTATCTCATTCACAATGTTGTTGTGGGGATCAAGTATTTAATGCATTAAAGCCCTTGGCCCAGTCCCAGGCACTCAGTAAGTGTTCAATAAACGACAGTTACTATTTCTAATCTGTCAAGTAGCAAAACTGAGCGTTTTGTGTAATACCTGCATAGAGAACCAGCTTTCTCAAGAGCTCTTTTGTGACAACATCCCACAGTCACACAACATAAGAGGACCTATATAAATAGAGTACTTGGCAGGTCACCTGTCCTCCTGTCACCTCTCAGTTACCTCCAGGAAGATCCTGGAGAAAGGTCCACTGCTGTACTTGTGCCCGACTTGCCACCTGACAAGTGTCCAAGGAGCTATAATGCTGTGAGTCATAGAGACAGGGATGGAGGAGTGATTTAAGAGGAAGAAAGCAGCAAAAAAAAAAAAAAAAAAAAAAAAACACCAAAAAACCCAAAAAACAAAAAACCACTTACACTCCTGGTAGGTTTCCATGTGCAAATATCTCTGAATATTCTGAGTTGAGCATTATTGCTTTCTTTGCAATTCTTCTTTTCCTATGCACATATTTTAACACTAGCCATGTGTTGGTGCTGGCTTATCTACCCATCCAGTCAATGTTTAGTGAGTGCCCATTCCATGCAAAGAACTGGGAGAGATGCGGGATCTGGGGACTTAGATCAGCCAGGGGAAAGCACACTGATGGCTTTCATGACAACAGTGCTGGATTCTGAGGATAATAACTGAGCCTTTTCCCTCAATTTAGTCTCTTGATTTCTTTCCACTCTCCGGAGAACAGCCACCAACAAATCCCTCCCAGCTAAAAGAGCCCACTCCCTCCCAGAGCTCCCCTTCTGTTTCCTGACAGTCCCTGCATCTCCCCCGGGGTACGCTGGGATCAATGCATGAGTACTTCAAAGAGGCCCTCAAATTGGAGTGCAGGCAGCACTTTTTAAAAAAAAAAAAAAAAAAACCAAAAAAAAAAAACCTCTTGAGCTGTGATTCTAAGTTGGCGGGGGAGGGGTGCCGAGAGTCAGGGCTGGGATCTGACAGCCCCGCACAATGCACAGAGGATCAGGGCTATGAGACACATTCAGCTCCAGAGATGAAAACTCTTCTTTTGGTGCTGACAACATCTGTTTTATTTTGAAGGTTGCTAAGGAGAGTTCTAGCTGGGCTAACATTGTTCCAGTTCAGTGCTTCACAGTGAGTCTCTCACACGGGGTTCAGAGGACCGGAATAAAAGCTCGCCAGGTAAATCCTGCTCCTTTCACTCTGCAGATATCAAAGAATCACTTTGCTACCAGGGATGACTAACACCCTGCCTAGTCTCGCTCTGAATTGGACGTACTCTCGGCTTATTCTCTTATTACTCTTCTCCTCCCTGCCCCCTCTGTCCCCACTTGCCAACTCCCCATCTTGGCCAAATAAAGGCTTATTAGGGAGAAACAGACAGTGAATGTGCCGCTAACCCGCGAGATTTCAATGCAGAGACAAGAGCTGAGCGTGAGGTGGGGCTCACGGCGGGAGGACGTTCAGCATCACACGAAGGAGGAAATGATTTCCTAACCTTTAAAGATCTGTTTTACTCCTAACAGAGCAATGCCAAATGTCAAATGCCTTCATGTGGGCTCAGAACACTCAGCAGACAGTAGAAATGAAGCTGAAAACAAGGAAGAGGTTGACCAGCAATCCCGTCTCCATCTTTGCCATAACGGACGTGGGAAGCCAAGTTCTCTCCACTCCACTGGGCCCCATCCTGTCTAAGTTTACTTGCGATTAATTACAAGATGGTAACAAAATTAAGAAAACTCAGCCCAGGAAGGCAAGCATTCAAGAAAATAAGAGATAGGGAAGATGGGAATGTAAAAAAAAAAAATACAATGACCTTCACATATATGACAAGTTGCTATAACACGGGTGGCAATGTAGTCAACAGTTGAGGGCCACTTTGCTCTGCCCCTGGGAATCATATACGGGGAGAGAGCCCACCAGAAGAGCGAGGGAAGCAGGAAGGCCCCTACGTTTAATGGATATCTGTAAAAAAAAAATTAAAAAAAAATCATTTTGGGACTCCAGGACATTGAGTGAAGAAACAAGTTTCATGAACTGGAGGGGTTCTTTTTCTTCACTGGGCTTTAGGAAAGCACCAGCTCCTGCCAGACAGTCCCCAGGAGTCTAGGAAAAGGAAAGGAAGAATGGCAGTGTTCTCCCTCCAACAAAGATCCTTCAAACAGCCATTCAGCAGGGCCCCTGACCCTGCAAATCTCGACAACAAAAGGAAACTATATCCTCTCAAATGAGGGTATTGAGACAACTGAGGCCACATTATCTAAATGTTTCCCTTGCCTGCCAGATTCTATTTCAGCCAGTTTTGTTTCACCTCCTCAGCTTGGGATCTATCCAGGTGACAGTATGCTTCTCCTGTTATCAAGAACCCCAAATACTGCAAAACACACAGCACCCTGACTCCTCTCCATATCCCAGAGGAGGGATTAAGCTGGAGAGATTAAGAGCCATCCTCCAAACCACTCACCTAGCCAGGTCACGGCCACACCAGCTGGGGCCGACATGGCTTCTGCCACCTTGTGCCAGCTCCTGTTGTGCCCAGGTGTCCAGAGTGCCACGTGGCAGAAATAGTAGCCAGCATTTTCTTTGCTAACATCTCGAACCAGTAAATGGAAGGAGCGTGCGTCCCCGTGACTCAAGGCAACGTGAGGAGAGCTGTGCACCAGGGAATCACGGTCCAGCCGAGCCAACACGCGGGGGCCGGGCAAGGTGCTGTCCGGGGTCCTGCTGAAGTACCATGCCACCTCGGGGCGAACGTCATCCATTCGGTCTGTTGTGATGTTGCAGGCCAGGTCCAGCTCCTTTCCTTCAGCCACAGATACATTCCTGGCCACAGCGGCTCGGAGAACTGGAACGTTAAAAACACGGACACGGAGATAATCTGGATTACGTTTGCCCCTTCCACTCCATCCCCTTAGATCATCTCCTTCTGCCTTCTTATTTATGACATTCAAGTTAGAAGGCTTTGTACAGTTTTAAGTGCTTGAGATATTCACTGAATGAATTAGTGAAACATACCATATTTCTTTTTACGTCATAAAAATAATAATTGCAGCAAACATATATATATATGCTTGCTATATGCCAGGCACTGTTTTGAGTGGTTTATAAATTTAATCTTCAAAACAACCCTACAAACTCACAAAGAAAACAAACTTATGGTTACCAAAGGGGAAAAAGGGAGAGGAATAAAATCAGGAATTTGGGATTAATAGATATATACTACTATACATAAAATAGATAAACAACAAGGAACCCACTGTGTAGCACAGGGAACTATATTCAATATCTTGTAATAACCTGTAATGGAAAAGAATCTGAAAAAAATATATATATGAAACTGAATCTCTATGCTGTATACTTGAAGTACTAGAAATCAACTATACTTCAATTAAAAATGATAAATTTGAATTAAAAAACCCTACGAGGTAGTACCATTATTATCTCTATTTTACTGATAAGGAAACTGAAGTCCAGAGAAGTTAAGGAGCTTGCCCAAGGTCAAGGTCACACAGCTAATATGTGGCAGAGCTAGGATTCAAATCCCAGCTGTCTGCCTTCAGGGACTCTGCTCCTAAGTGTTACACTATCATCTCATACACTACCATTTGAAAACAAGTCTGCTGAACGTCACAAAACTAAAATCATCCTTTCTCCATATGCATGATAGGACTTGGGTGAGTTTCAGAGAAAAGACGGCTCAGCTCTGACCAGTACATATTGTCAGCTGGGGGCTAAGAGCTGGAGGGTAGGAAGTGAGGAACCATCTTCTGGGTAAAAGAGGAAGGCGGGAACCCTAGAGAAGGACTGGGAAAGTGAAACCAGACAATATGCTTAATGAGCCAAGTCTTCAAAATGCAATGCCCTCAGAGCATCATTTATTCCATTCGACAAACCCACCTTAATTAAAGCCAAGTATAAAGCATATATTCTGAAACCAACACACAATGATTTCTGGATTAGCCATGCCACTGCCCTCTCACTCGTGTGGATAATTAAAAGCAGGCTATATTTAGATGAAGCACTGAAGGGTTCAGTGTCACGGTCTCGAGGCAGATCTGGTTTCAGCATTCACCTGTCAAAGCTTTTTACACAGAAACATTTTACTTTATTTGGGGTATTTTTGAAAAGAAGTTGAACATCTGTAATCAGAGTAGAAAAATATCCCACATGTGGTAATGCTCTGGGAACAACTGCTTAGATGAGAAACAGCCAACACCTCCCAGGGGTTTCAAGTGGACAGACAGCCCTGTCCTGGGCTTCCAGCAAGAGTCGTTCAGCATCAGCTGTGGTCCTGGGTCAGCTCAGCGACAAAGGCTAGCACTCAGTTCAGAAAAGACCCAACCCCAAAGGCCAGGCCCTCTGGAGTAAATGGCTTTCCTATGAATAGTTCCAAAGCTTGACGATGTTTTAAACAAGTGTTTCTGGCCACGTTCAAGATCCACCTTCATGAAGACAGAAAATAAGGTGGGCATAGCTTAGAAAAAGGAATTTATAGTCTAATTTCTCACCTCCACCCATCTTCCAAATTCCTCCTCTTCTTTCAACCCCTTTCAAAGGGCCAAGAGTAACATGAGGACATCTTTTGGGAGGAGTCAGTATGGAAACTGCTGACCAGCACCTGCGCTGTGGTAGGAATCACTCCATGTACTAACCTCGGTCAGAGACCCTAGAATACTGCTGGAAACCCTCTATGCATTCCATCACTGCTGGAGGGAAAAGAAGGCTCAGAAGGGAGCCGGCTGAGGCAAAAAGTGAGCAGTATGCAGCTGTGGACCGTATGCATGGACAAAGCGGGTTCTTGGGTTTAGAAATACTGGCAGAAATGTCCCTTTAACAGTATAGTTCACTTTCTAATTTCTTCTCTGCAAGTGGCTAAATATCTTGCCACATCACTGTTGCCACATGTTCTATGGGATTAGGGGGTTCACTGCTGGGACAGGATGGGGCATGCTGAAGGGAAAAAAAGAACCAGTTCTCAGAACTCATAATGTAAGAGAGGACCTCAGACAAAGCTGCAGTGGGGCAGGCTTTCTGCCATTGGATATAACTGAATCCATAAACTAGACACCAGGAGCTACATCAGCCAGGCCACTCCTAACATTGGAGGGGAGGAATACTGCCACCTAGGTGACACAGCCCCACCATTTATCTTAACAATGGGATAAGAGTATTTAAGAAGCTAGCTACGGACAATGTTCACAGCGACATTATTTACAATAGCCAAGATACAGAAGCAACCTAAGTGCCTATCAACAGAAGAATGAACAAAGATGTGGTGGTTATATATATACATATAATGGATTATTCTTCAGCCATTAAAAAAAAAAAAGAAATTTAGCCATTTGCAACAACATGGATGGACCTGGAGGGTATTACACTCAGTGAAGTAAATCTGACAGAGAAAGACAAATACTGTATGTTCTCACTTATATGTGGAATCTAAAAAAATAAAACAAACAAATCAATATAACAGAACAGAAACAGACTCACTACTAGATAACAAACTAGTAGTTACCAGTGGGGAGAAGGGGAGAAGGAGCAAGATAGAGGAAAAGGATTAAGAGGTACAAACTATACTAAACATAAAATAAGTAAGATACAAGAATGTAATATACAGCACAAGAAATAGAGCCAATATTTTATAATCACTTTAAATGGAGTATAATCTATAATACTATTGAACCAATATTGTAAATCAACTATACTTCAATCTAAAAAAAACAACAAGAGGTGAGCTATGGAGAGTGCAGGTGTTGACAGTGAGAAAGACTATCACTCTAGTGTGGTGGTTCTTAACCTGGGGTCCACAAAAGGAATTTGAAGAGTCTATGACATGGATGGGGATAAAAATTCTTAGTTTTACTAACTTCTACCTGAGATATAGCATCTCCTCTTGTTATGAAACTAAGCAACAAACCAGTGCAGTATTATTTTTGCTCCCAATAGAAATCACAGACATTTTCACATCACATTAAAATTGTTGCAGACATCTTAAAGTATCATTTACATTCACCACTACTTAGAAATTACAGTAGTTGTTAGGGCTACCATTATATCTTATTATTTAATGCATTAATAAAACACTATATACTATATAACAATTTGTCCTAAGAATACTTTGATTACTCTTTCAATGCAATTGTTTTCCTTTGTCATCCTTTGTATATATTTTATGAATTAAAACACATTAACTCAGAGAAGGGGTCTGTGAGCTTCAAAGGACTGTCAAAAAAGCCCATGGCACAAAAGGTTATCAACCTCCAGCCTTGGGTGAGAGTCAGGTGCTACTGCCTGCCTAATAAGCTTAGAGTGTTCAAGTCTTAAAACAACACTACGAGTTTTGTGGCTTGTTTGAAATTTAAAAAAATACCTTTACAATGGAAATTCTTGCATAAAAAGATAATTTGCTGCCAATCTGAAATTCTTAATCCTTCCGTCCCATAAAATAGTTGTTTGATGCAAGCTAAATATCCGAGGTTTCCTAGGTCAGATTCTAAGCTGATCGTTTCTGAAAAGGCAGGTGACCTGAGTCCATCCGGAAAGTGATTTCTGCAGCCAGGAGAACCAAGACTGAGTGTGACTGGCAGCCCCTCTTGTCGGCAAGGGCACCTTGACCTCACTGATGGCCACAGTCACTTAAGATCATCAGCCCTGCTTTCACCAAGTCCAGCTCCCGTGTTGCGGTGCAAATGCAGAGTAAAGCGCTCGGAACAACGCAGCTTACAGAGGAAAAGCACTCCCCGTGTGTACTGTTTCCTGCTTTGCTTCCCATCTCAGCAACAGAGTGGTCATGCACCCTCGTTTATAGTCAGGAAATGAGTCCACCCAAGGTCTTCCCAGTTTACAAAACAGGAGGCAGAAGCAACGGCAGCAGAGTACTCTGAGATCTGAAGATGTCAGACTCCCAGAAAGTCCACCCATCCATCCACAGCAGTGACATCACCAGAGATGGTCTCTTTACACTTTGTCTCTGCCAAAGCCAGAAGCTCCAGGAGGTCTGGGAACGATCCTCAAGCACCCCTGACCCCAGAGCCCAGCACACAGTAGGTTCCCACTGACGCTAACTGGACATGGAGTCAACAATGGCCTGTTTTTCTTTTATATTTATGACTTTTCTAAAATGTATTTGGTATTTTCTTAGTTCTTTCTCCAGTAGGAATAAGGAGGTTTTTGTTTGTTTGTTACTTTTGAAAAGGCTGGTTCGCTGATGACGACAATTTCTTGCATAGACCCCAGGGCTGGATGCTTCTGGGGTATGGGTCATATAGGAAGTAAGAAGAGGCCCAGCCCTAGAGAATCCCTCCTGTACAAGGGGATGTGACATCTGAGGGGACCTGGAAGGCAACCCTAGAGGACCCAAGTCAGACAAGAGGTTTTGGGGTGAGCCAGACACATCCCCAAGTGCTGCAGGGAAAGGCAATCCACAACCTCAGGAAACACCAAACAAGATGAAGCCAAGGGAGCAGGTGGGGGCACCCCAAAGCCCCTTTGAACACCAGGCTGGACCTCATCCTGGCACTTAAAGGGACTGAATCTTTCAGTCACAAAACTTTCTTAGTATCTTATGTATCAGCAGCTTCCTATGGGTGTGAATCCAGATGAAAAGCAGCTGCAAAGCAAAACTACTATTTGGCACAAAACTGATGCATCCTTCCTAGACCCTCCACACCACCCTACTCCCTCATCAGTCAACGCAAGGCCTCCCAGGAGGAGCAGAAATCTTGTCAGAAAAGGATGAGGCACCCGCCTACTTCTCTACACCGCATCGGTCAGAAAATAAGATGCAGTCCAAAAGATCCAATTTCCAAAACCTCACCTGTCGGCTGGATCACCACAGTGGCCACATCCACAGCTTTTTCTTGAATTTCTTGCCAGTTACCCTGCTCTCCGATCCACTCGCTGACGATGCACCGGTAGGAGCCCTGGTCGGAGGACAGGGCCCGGGACACGGAGAGGCGGTAGCCGTCGCTGCCCTCGGTGTCCAGGCGCACGTCCCCGCCGCGGTAGCGCTGCTCGTAGCCGGGGCCGGGCCGGAACCTGCCCTCG